ACAACTCTCTTACTTCTGGGCTGTCAGAAAGGCTGATGACGCAGCAGATGCTGGCAGGAGTTGTCCTGCTGGTTGAGCAGAGGGAAGGCTCTGAATGGCACCAGAGCTGGCCACTCTCACCTTTGTGTTCCTGGGCATTTTATATATATGTCTATTTATTGAATCAGCTGTGGAGTCAGAGCAGAGCACAATGCCTGACCCTCAACAGATCTTTTATAATTGGCTACTTAATGAATTAAATATGGAATTTAATGTTGTTTGACTCTGTGTCCCCACCCAAATTTCATCTTGTAGCTCCCATAATTCTCACATGTTGTGGGAGGAACAACAGTGGGAGATGATTGAATCATGAGGGCAGGTCTTTCCTGTGCTGTTCTCATGATAATGTATGGGTCTCATGAGATCTGATGGTTTTAAAAACGGGAATTTCTCTGCACAAGCTCTCTCTTTGCCCACTGCCTTCCACATGAGATGTGACTTGCTTCTCCTTGTCTTCTGCCATGATTGTGAGACCTCCTCAGCCATGTGGAACTGTAAGTCCAGTAAACTTCTTTCTTTTTTTAAATTGCCCAGTCTCAGGTATGTTTTTATCCGCACTGTGAAAACAGATTAATATAGTAAATTGGTACAAGGAGTGGGGCATTGCTAAAAGATAACCCCAAATATGGAAGCAACTTTGGAACTGGGTAACAGGCAGAGGTTGGAACAGTTTGGAGGGCTCAGAAGAAGACAGGAAAATGTGGGAAAGTTTAGAACTTCCTAGAGACTTGTTGAATGGGTTTGACCAAAAGCCTGATAGCAATATGGACAGTAAGGTCCAGGTTGAAGTGGTCTCAGATGGAGATGAGGAACTTGTTGGGAAGTGGAGCAAAGGTGACTCTTGTTATGTTTTAGCAAAGAGACTGTCAGGATTTTGCTCCTGCTCTAGAGATTTGTGGAACTTTGAACTTGATAGAATGATTCAGGGTATCTAATGGAAGATACATGATTCAGGGTATCTAATGAAAGAAATTTCTAAGCACCAAAGCATTCAAGATGTGACTTGGGTGCTGTTAAGGGCTTTCAGTTTTATAACGGAAGAAGGGCATAAAAGTTTGGAAAATTTGCAGCCTCACAATGTGATAGAGAAGAAAAACCCATTTTCTGAGGAGAAATTCAAGCTGGTTGCAGAAATTTGCATAAGTAATGAGTCAAATGTTAATCCCCAAGACAAAGAGGAAAATGTCTCCAGGACGTGTCAGAGGTCATCACAGCATCCCCTGCCATCACAGGCCTGGAGGCATAGGGGAAAGTAGTTTCATGGACTGGGCCCAGGGTCCCCGTGCTGTGTGCAGCCTAGGGACTTGGTGCCCTGTGTCCCAGCTGCTCCAGCCATGGCTGAAAGGGACCGATGTAAAGATCAGGGTGCAAGCCCCAAGCCTTGGCAGCTTCCATGTGGTGTTGAGCCTGAAAGTGCACAGAAGTCAAGAATTGGGGTTTGGGAACCTCTGCCTAGATTTCAGAAGAGTAGAAGTTTGCTGCAGGGGCAGGGTGCCCATGGAGAACCTTTGCTAGGGCAGTGCAGAAGGGAAATGTGGGGATAGAGCCCCCACACAGAGTCCCTACTGGGGCATGCCTAGTGGAGCTATGAGAAGAAGGCCATCCTCCAGACCCCAGAATGGTAGATCAACCAACAACTTGTACCATTCTCCTTAAAAAGGAGCAGACACTCATTGCCAGCCCGTGAAAGCAGCAGAGAGAGAAGCTCTGCCCTGCAAAGCCACAGGGCTGGAGCTGCCCAAAACCATTGGAACCTACCTCTTGCATCAGTTTGACCTGGATATGAGACATAGAGTCAAAGGAGATCATTTTGGAGCTCTAAGATTTGACTGCCGCACTGCATTTTGGTCTTGCATGGGGCCTATAGCCCCTTCGTTTTTGCCAATTTCTCCCATTTGGAATGACTGTATTTACCTAATGCTTGTATCCCCATTGTACCTAGGAAGTAATTAACTTGCTGTTGATTTTACAGGATCATAGGTGGAAGGAACTTGCCTTGTCTCAGATGAGACTTTGCACTGTGGACTTCTGAGTTAATGCTGATATGAGTTGAGACTTTGGGGGACTGTTGGAAAGGCATGATTGGTTTTGAAATGTGAAGGTATGAGATTTGGGAGGGGCTGGGGTGGAATGATATGGTTTGGCTCTGTGTCCCCACCCAAATCTCATCTTGTAGCTCTCATAATTCCCATGTGCTATGGGAAGGACCTGGTGGGCGATGATTGAATCATGGAGCCGAGTCTTTCCTGTGCTGTTCTCATGATAGTGAACGGGTCTTATGAGATCTGATGGTTGCAAAAATGGGAGTTTTTCTGCAGAAGGTCTCTCTTTGCCCGCTACCATCCATGTAAGATGTGACTTGGTCCCCCTTGCCTTCCACCATGATTGTGAGGTTTCCCCAGCCATGTGGAACTGTAAGTCCAATAAATCTCTTTCTTTTATAAATTGCCCAGTCTTGGGTATGTCTTTATCAGCAGGGTAAAAACAGACTAATAAAGGATTCTTCAAGAACCAAGGGGATTTTGATGGAGTAGAGATTAATTTAATAGAAAAGTGTGTCCACCTCTACATGAAGAGAGAAATGTAACAAATAAAACTGATGATTTTGTGGTGGTGTTTGTCGGGGAGCATACAGAGTTTATATCAGACATTGTCTCTCACATTCCCACCCTGCCCCATTTGGTGTTGAGTACAAAACCAACTCTTATTGGAGGATACTGGTCTGGTTGGGAGATGAAGAGAATGAGGAGGAGGAAAGAAAGCTCTTCATCCCCTTAGCAGTTGTTTCTTAATGCTTAATGTAGCATTTCTTCCTCCCTTTGGCCTATTCTATTGGGAGCCTCTGGGGCCATGGGTGAACTGTCAGCTTGTTATACAAAATGTGAGCCAGGATTACAGGTAGGAATGTAAAAATTTTCAAAAGTAGACTTTTCTACAACTCTTAAGAATTTTTTAAATTCAATGTCTCTACTCACATTTTTGAGACAATAATTCTCCATCCTTGCTGCACAGTAGAAAAACCTGGGACAGTTTCTGAAAGATATGGATACATAGGCTGTATTTCTAAAGGCTGCAAATTGTCTGAGAGATTGGACCCAGGTATCAGGTTTGTTTTTGTGCTACTTTGGTGCTCTAACCTACAGTCCACACTAAGAACCATGGCCTTAGAAGGACTCCGTTAAATTTCCACCGTTATTAACTGATTCATTGGTTATTATTGTTAGCAGATTTATCAAAAAGTTGGGGGCTGAAAAGACTCCTATGATACTGGTTGGCTAGCTGTTTCCAACAATGAGAATTTCTTCTACTAGAAGAAGCATAGTCACAAACCATTAGGTCATGAGGGTCCTATCCTAACTGGTGACTCTCACCAGCAAATTATGAGGTGTGTCAAATACTGTAGATTTTTGTACCTTAAAGGTCAGGAAAGAAAACAATTCTAGTGCCTTTTGCCAAGTGACACATAATTGGTGACACAATAAATACCTATTGACCTTTTTATTTAAAACCTTTGGAAGAAACTTTAATAACTCCCTGAGCAGTTACATGATCAAATTGTGCAGTGGTGTAGACAAAACATCATTTTCTAACTTCAATTTTGAATACAAGGGACAATGGTATTTGCTAGGAAATAACTCTCCAATATTTAGTCTTTTTTCCCAATATGCTGACTGATGCTGCAATTTGTGGTTTCCAAAATGCGAAATAGATTTCCCTCTCCTTCCTTTAACGTTAGCAATGGGTGCAAAGTTTTTTTAAGATTCAGATGTGGTTCAGGACTTATTTTTAAAAATTTAAATATACAGAGATGCTGTTTCTTAAACTTTGCATAAACATTTTGAGATAAAATTAAAACCTGTCACATATTTGTGTTGGTTTTAAGGAAGTAGAATATAGATAACATTTGTTTTCAAGTGAAACTGCTTTATATATTATGCATAATGCTCTGCAATGTCATTACTTTAACATAAACAAGAGGCAGAGTAAAACAATGTTTGTCATTCAATTTTACCTGCATATGCCAACAGAAATGGTAAACAGAGATGATAATCAGGAAAAACCAAATCTTTCATGAGTATATTTTTTCCTTTTAACTTAGCCTTTATATGCCAGGCAAATTTAGAATGGTTTAATAGGAAAAGGGAAGGTAGATAATATTTACAGTTTCTAGGATTTCAGACCTCAGATCTAGAGATTTAAACATAGGGATTCAAAAAAGAAGAAATGATGATCAACAGTCTTTCTGAAGGTAAAACAGGCTGAAGCTCTACAACATTGGACTGGTATTTTATAACCTGTTATAATGGATAGGAAATATATTGACACCATTGCAGCAAGTTGATGGGAGGTATAAGTGTAAATCATGCCATAAATTACATCCTCCTCATATCTTGGGAATAACCATGTCTTCAGGTCACTTGGTATTGCTAATGTGGGTCATTGGTCAGAACTTCTTCATTACTCACATCTCTTTGGATCTCAGACCCTGCACCTCTGAGGCTCTCTGCTGCCAGGCATTGCAATAATTCTTTCACAAAGGGTATGCTTTGAACAGGAGAAATAGAAGGTATCTCATCAAGTAGTAAATTATACATATTTCTACAGGAGAAATAGATTGCATTTCATCAAGAAAAATATCACCCTGAATGAACAGAAATCACTTATTAATTATAAGTCCTCTCTTCTAGTAAAACATTTTCATTTTATCACTAAGGTTCTACTATAACCCTGCAGGAGTAAGAATAATTTGATCCCTATCCTGTATTTTTATATATTTTTAATGTTGGGCAAAAATTAATTTGTATTCATTCAAAATTATTTTAAAAATTAAAAACTCAACTGATGCCTTCAATCATTGAAGAAACACTTCTCTCCGTGACCACTACTTGTAATAAATTAAATACAGTATTCCAATGTGAGAGGATTGAAGTTATTTTAACATACATCTGTTTACTAGTTACTTGGGATGGACTTGATGTAAGTCTTCACTATCAGACTGAGTTTTGATAAATAGAAAGAACTGGTTACAAAATTCTGTGCTAAAAATTTCTGCCATGTGCTCCTCTGTGTGGCTACATGGAAACAGATTATACATTGTAGCAAATAACTGAAAAAAGAAAAACAAATCAAAAGAATTTGTGCTATCAATTACTCTGTTTTCTGGGTGCAGACATGGTGGTGACAATACTGAAAATGGAAGGAGACTTAGAAGTTTGCATAATTAAGAGGTTAGTTAACCCTGGATTCTTTTGATCCTATGTCTCTCATAATCATCACTTATTAACTGTATGACCCTAGGCAAAATACTTAGTATATCTAAGCCCCAGTCTTTTTATATATAGATTGGGTCAAATAACTATGGCAGAGGCAGTGAACTGTGTTCACCATTTATGATGTTAGACATTAGGGTGACTATATTTCTTAGCCTCCCTTACCATTAAGTTTCAGAAGATACATGACTGAGCTCCACCCAGGAAGTGTTGGTGGAAGTGAAGTGAATTCCTCCACTGCCGGTTCTGGTCTTTACAAGCATCCTGCACAAGCCTCCAGCTCATGCAATTGCCCTGTGTAGTGACTTAGAAACTGCAGAGTCCAGCTGGGGTTGCTACTGCATGAAAGAAGGTAGATCAACTTGCATGTAACTTTATGTAAGCATGAAATAAACGTTATTTTATTAAGGCACTGAGATTTCATTTCCTTCCTTCCTTCCTTCCTTCCTTCCTTCCTTCCTTCCTTCCTTCCTTCCTTCCTTCCTTCCTTCCTTCCTTCCTTCAATCTTCCCTCCCTCCTAGCTTAGTCTATTCCGTTAATACAGCACTTCATACCTACTTCACTCAGCTATATGGATTAAACAACATCAAAGATATAATGCTAGACACATAGGGGCGCACAATAAGTCCTGAATGCACTTATTATTATTTTACATAATCAACTCATTATTTTAGAGATAAAAATGCTGAGGATTAAAGGAGTCAAGTGATTTACCCACGACCAAACAGCTAACTTTTAGAGCAGCTAAGTATTTCTAACCTAGGTTTCTTTTATTATGGATTTCCCCCTAAATCAGATGTACCATCTTAGTGAACGAAATATTTAGACATGCTAATTCTGAGTGAGGTTAGTCTATAAAAAATAAGAACTGAGTTTATTTTTAAAATATAGCCAATATGTTGGGGGTTTACTGATACCCACACCATGTTGGTCTCAATTTTATAATTTTTGGTTGGTTCTCAATAGGAATTTAGCTGACTATTTTTACATTGACTCATGAATATCTTCACATTTTTGAGGATAGAGTAATTTCCTCTCTAACTGTTTTTTTTTTACTTTGAAATTCTTTAGTAAATATTTTGGTAGTAATAATGACCTATTTTTTAAATGTTACTTTTAGAATGACGTTATGTTATTAAATTGCCGAACCATAAGACAATTACTACAAATCTTCTTATTTCAAGTATTTTTCTAATATATCTATAAATTACCACAATTAAACTGTGACTCAAAGGTAGAATTGGGCTTTCTTGTGGTAGCTGTCCATGGCAAGTCAATGAGTGGTTGTAATTCTACTTACGTAGTTAGACAAACTTCCCCAATTCCATAGAATCTTGAAGTCCCTAGGGAGATAATTCATACCCGCTTTCCAACTGGTGATTCTACAGTCAGCAGTATAACATTTCCATTATTTTGCTATTCAAACTAAGTGTGTTTATTTTTATCAAGAGCTTTCAGAATAGTGTTTTTAGCATAGCTTTTCAGCATAGTATGGTGGTTAAGAGTGTGGGCTTTGCAATCCAATGGATATACTTCACTAGCCTTGTGATCTTAGGCAAGTTTATATTTTTGAGCCTCAGTTTTCATATTTATAAAATAAGTCCTATCTCAAAGGATTTTACCAAGTCAATTGTGATCTAAAAATATATTGTTTGACAATCAAAATAATAATTATTTCTAAATAATTGATAAACTAGTAATCTCAGAAACTAGCCTAAAATGATATTATACATAGAAAAATCTTTTGACATGAAATAATTTCTCATACTACTTACAGAATTCAGAAAACTATAATAATCAAAGTGTCTAGAAATAGGGAAATGATTAAATAAATTAAGATGTATTCACATAATGAAGTTTATGGAGCGTTTTTATTAATGTCAGTAAGAAATACCTTCAATGCTTTACCTTTTAGCTGATGAATACTAAGCAAGTCACTTTAATGATTTACCCAAGCTCCCTGTGTGCCACATGGCAAAGCCCATGGCATGTCTCAATTGTGCTAAGTCTTTGGAGAAGGAAGAGTGTTGGCCTTCATATAATTTGCATACTGCCTGTATCTCTGCCATCTTTGTTTCAGCTGCTAATTTTATGCTGTTTTTGCTCTTGCCTATGGATACTTTATTGCTCATATGGCTGTTCCATGCATCTGTCCACAGGCACCTAGCCATCTATTCCTGGCTTGAGTTGGCCATGAGGAAATGCTTATACAGCATTGACATCTTATGTCCTATGAGGTTCTCTTCCTTGCTGTCATTAAGAGCTCATGTACTCAGGTACCCTCTGCTTCTGACTTCGTTATTGACACCCCATGATACGTTCTTACTATTGAGCCACACAGCCTTCTCTGTTGCTGAGTGTGGTAGATTCTGATTGGTTTAATCCCTGCTCCAGGATCTAATGAGTTTAATTTTTGCTTCTGTCCACTCACCACCCAAGCCTTGTGGCTGATTTTTACCCAGATATCATGCTTTCTTCTTCTCCTTCTCGCTCTCCCTCTCCTTCTCCTTCTTTTATTTCCTTCCTTTTCTTCTCCCTTCCCTTCCCTTCCCTTCCCTTCCCTTCCCTTCCCTTCCTTTCCTCTTTTGGGTCTTGTCCTGTCACTTCACTTAGGCTGCAGCATAGTGGTGTGATCATGGCTCGCTGCTGCCTCATGCTCCTGGGGCTCAATGGATCCTCCCATGCCATATCAGCCTCCAGAGTAACTGGGACTATAGGTGTGCTACTGCGCCTGGCTTTTTTTTTTTTTTTTTTTTTTTTTTTTTTTTTTTTTTGTAGAAATGAGATCTCTCATTTATTTCTCATAACTCTTTTTTTCTCCTTCTTTCACACCATCTGTTGCCTTTCTCCATAACCTAGTTTCCCCAGGATACTACCACCTGTTGGTTATGGTGCTATATATTTGAACCTCAGTTAGGAACCAGGTATTAATTATTTCCCAAAGGTTTCCTGATTCTGTGGGAGATGGAGACTTGTCTAATTCCATAAACAAGTGATTCCTCAGATCTGATCAAGTAGAAACTCCTGCTGTTGGTCATAATGCTAAATGAAAAAAAAAAAAAAAAAGCAGGAAATCCAATTATCAGGTTGGTGCCAAGGTAACTGAGTTTTACCATTAAAAGTAAAAGCAAAAACTGCAAACTACAATTACCTTTGCATGAACCTAATATAAATGAAAGCTGATTCTAACTGTTAAAATGAAACTTACATGAAAGTCACTGGAAGGAAAAATAAAATCTATTTGGATCATATGACTATAGGTTTTTTCTTTAATTCCCAATTTTCTACAATGTGTTTTATTACTTTTCTAATAGAATAATACTAAATTTAAAGAATCATTGCATGGAAGTAATCCAGAATCTAACAACACACTTATTTAAAGCAAGTTTCACTTTAATTTTCTTTTGTGATTTTCCTTGCTATGAAGAAATAGTAGTCTTTGTGGGTGATTCTAGAAGTGCCTGTTCCCACTACAAGTGTTTCGATATACCTTTACTTTGACTTCTTCAGGTCTTTGTTTTCAAGTCTTTATCTGTAGTGTTATCTACGTGTGTGGAAATATCCTCCCACTTTCTCTCTTTCTCTCTCTCTGTGCCCCCCTGCCTCCACCTTTCTTTCTCTCCATAATCACATCTGTAGCTGGTACTCTGTTGTTCTGACCACATCCCCTTGGTGCCTACCTTCCTCACACAAACCAACATTAAAATGTCCAACCTCTAGCATCTGCAACTCTTTCCCTGAGGGCTTTCTCTGGAGACAGGAGCCTGCACTTGGGACACACAGGGAGTAACTAGAATTTGACATGTACCTCCCTCCCCAGCAACGTTCAACCATGATTGACAGGAATTGCTCCAATTGCTACCCTGAATTCTCTTGCCCCAGAGGGAGTAGGGACACTTGTGAGGCAGGTTCTCCTCTATCTCCCAGAGTTCCCAGCAGGACTGAACTCCTGTTTCCCATGGTGGCAACCCTGCATGGTAATGTCATTTTATTGCCTGCATATTGTTTGCTTTCTCTGTTGCCTGCTCTTCTACCAGAGCTTCCAGGGATTGCTTCCCCAGTACACAACTTGTGGGAAAGTCCCCCTCTCAGGGTCTCTTTCTGGAGAAATTCAACTTAAGAAAAGATTCATATTCATATCCATTTTTTGCAATTCATATAAAAATGGCTTAAGGGTTATAGCTGGCTCTGAGGTAAGCATGAACTCAAAATGTGGCAAGACTGCGAACAAAGTTAACACAAATTTAGGCAGAAATAGGAGAATAATGATTAAAGAGAGTCAAAGTATATGTGTGGTATTGTGTCCAGTTCTGGATACAATATGTTCTTAAAGCATATTCAAAAATTGGGATATGATCATGGCCTGATTAGGAGATTAGGAAAACAATAACAAAGCTAACAATGGAAAGAAGTGAAGCTATTTGGCTTGAAGAATAAACTGCTAAAGAATGACATAATCACTGTATTCAAGTAGCTGAAGGGAAGTCATGTGCACAGTGGACTAAATTTGTTCAGTGTTTTTCTAAAAGACAGAACTAAGGAAAAATTAGAGAAAAGCAATATTCAACTCAGGAAAGGAAAGAATTTTCTAACAAGTAAAGCTTTCCCTTATCAAATATAAGATTCTAGTCTCTGGAAATACTTAGGCAGAGGTGAAAAAAAGTCACCTAAATCTATCCTGACCCTTAAAATAAACTCTGGTTACATATGTAATCCTCTGAAAAGCTCATTTTTGTCACTAGCATTTTATCTGCAGAATTTCATAGCCTACCACCCTGTTGCCTGCCTTGATGATTTTTCCTTGTAGATTCCCTGGTTCCTGTCATGCCTCCATTCTGGATTTGGGCCTGAGTTCTGCCCTCTGACCAGCATTATGGTTTAACAATGTGGTTTTGGACTTCTTCTCCCAGTGTCTAAGGCTCTCTGCCTTCTCCTTTGGCACAGCAAGTGCAGGTAGTTGGCCCTGTACCCAGTCCAGCCCATCAGTGGTGGCTTCTTGCTGTCTAGGAAGAGGAACAGAACACAGGAGAATGGAATCCTAAACAGGGTGAAAGTTTATTTTAAATGACTTTTAAGTTTACTTCCAACTCTAAGCCTCTGTCACTATTTTCCTTTTCAGTTTTTATGATCTTCATTCTTAAGCTTCATTTCTCTTGTTTATTAACTAATAAGTCTTTCTTCTGAGGCTGCCCTGGGAAAATCAAGCCCAAAATCAAGGTTTCTGGTGTTATTAGTTCAAGTCCTTACCAAAGCTCTTCCTCTCACTCATGTTTCTCCAACTCCTGATAATTGGTTTTGTTTGCCTGTGTCTGAAGACAGATACTTCTTTAAGAAAGGAAACCTGCCCCTGCTTTTCCCATGGGTGATTTATGTTGCCTTCACTTGAACTGATATCCCACTTCAGTAGTTTATGTCTTACCTGCAGTTCTTCTGCAGAGGACACTGTCTTCCACACCCAACACTGATCTCTGGTTGGGCTCAATGGACTCTGCAGGAAAGGGGGACCTGCTGTCCATGGGCCAGCTCTTTCTGATGCCAAAAGGAGAGCTTGCTTTTCATGATGAAAACATGTGTTGTTCCAGCTGGCAGAGTTAGAATTAGTAGGTGGAAATATAGAGCTCTGGACCCCATAAGGATCTTGGAATAAATGTTCAGGGAATTGAGCTGGGAAAACTATATGGTATTATAACATTCATTTTCTATAATACTTTCTCAACAAACCTTTATTGAAAATGTGCTTTGCCCTGAATTCAGAAATCAGAAAGAAAAATTGATCCCAAGCACAAAGGAACCATGTCCTTCATTCTTCCCTGGGCTCTGGAGAGGAACATGAATTAACAGGCTCTATATTGGATGAAAATGAGGATGGAAGCCCTGTTGGGCTACTTACTAGCTGAGAAATTTGAGGTGCGTTAGTTCAGTTATCTAAAGTTTCTATATGACAGCAGTAATGGAAAGATTAAATGAGAATGAATTCAAAGAACCTAGCACACAGTGGCTGGAACACAGCAGGTTATAAAAGTGTTGCTTCCCTTCTCTTTGATTCCCTCACAGGGCATTCTCTGTAGAAATCATGGGGCAGTTACTCATACATCATTTATGGCATCTGGACCCTAATCCTTGCCTCTCCAAATGCCTTCCATATTGTCCAAGGAAAGCTTCTGGACTCTCCCAAATGGAGTCCTTTGTGACCTACCATGACATTTGGATATGTCTTTGGACTATGGATCTTCAACATTTTTCTTTTTCTTCTCTATCATTTTTCTTTCCTATTTTTGTTTCTCATTCTCTCTCTTATGACTTTTCCTCTTGAGACACAAACATTTCATAATTTATTATTCCATCTTTTAGGCACATTGAAGAAACCTCTGGTGTCCCAGCCCCTGTTTCTGGTTCTTCAACATTAGACTTCCTGTATGGTGCTTGCTCCTGCCATCAAAACGCATAACGAATCTCATGGTGTGGTCTTTGTACCATCACATTCTCTTTTTGAGTGATACTTGGGAAATGCCTTACTTTGCAGGAATCTCATAGCAGAAAATGTGAATAACAGAGACTCCTTTGTTTGGGAACCAATGAAGTGTCTGTTGAAATGTAGAGGAGTAGAACTTAGGGTGAACAGAAGAGAAGCAGTAAGATTGGAAACGAGGTCCCCCTAAAGTGTGAACCATGGAAAGAAAAGCCTTGCAGGGTGTGAATAAAACAAAGCCGGGACCATTGGATGCCTTTGCCCCCAGAGCTCCACTAGAATGCCAGGAGTTTGTTCAGCCTCACACCCTCATCAAAAAGACGAATGACAATATCTCCCAAGGGCACTGCAAATTTTAATTTTGGAGTTCATTTAAAACTGCTATAACATGAGCTACCACTTCTTCATGGTCAAATTGTACTTCTCACCTACTTGATCTGTAGATCTTGTGTGGCATTCTCCAGCTTTCTCCCAGAAGACACGTTCTGAGTCAAATCAAAACCTTGGAATTGTTTCTTCTACTAGTCTATTTCTATTATTATAACTCTCACAGACTACAGAGAAAGAACATACACATTTAATACATAGAAAATATTTATTATACAGCTTTATCAAGATTATTTGACAAAAGGCAGTAACAAGCCAAAGGAAAACACGTTTACAAGAAGCTGAACAACTTGTATCAGCACATACATTAAGGTGAAGAGTTTTGGCCCTCTTGGTCTAGGGTATGTTTGTGTACGTCTCCAATTTTGAACAATGATGACATAAGGACTAATACTCTATTTATTCAGGAGACCCCGTAATCACAATAATCATAGGCATTCAGAGTAATAAAGTGATCACAGTTGAATGAACATGTTCACCAAATGTCTTAGACCAACCTAATATCATCTTATACTTGAATATAAGTTGTTTTCCTTATCTATTCTAATTTTTACAAAATCTGAATGCACAAGCCCTGTGATATTAGAGATGTATTTTAGTGGCATTAAGAGTAAAAAATAAATATGATTCACTAATAGAGATCATATGCTTTCCCTCATGAATTTGTCAATTACTAAAAACCCATCTATTAATCACTGGAGCCATTGATTTTCCTCTGTCTGCTTTCTTACAATGAAAACATGGAACCGAAGTCCACATCTCAGTCATGAGATCTTTACAATAAAGGTGTTTTAAAATAATTTTTAAAGGAAATGCAGTTCATTTTTGGTGTGGAACTGACTAAACTTGGCAGTAGAAGTATAAGAAATACAATCCTCCAACATTGGAGTGGATGTTAAATTCTGAACAAATGATGCACTGGATATTTAAAGATTCTAAGATGATTTTTGGCTGAGAAATCAGAAGCTTCAATATGAAGGAAGCATATTAAAATATGACTGAACATAAGGCATAAACAAAGATATTTAAGGGGGTTTGAATTCATTCCACAAATAATAGAAGAAATCAAAACAGCAAGAAAAATCCTTTTATTGGGGGTAAACAGGGATGGTAAAGATGGAATAAGTGGATTACATGTCAATGGATATTACACAACAGCAAATAACAGAAACAAAAAGTTATGACAGCAAAGACACAGGATAAAAGTCCATGAACATAAAAATTAAAAGAAGGCAAAATGTGATTGATAAAGATTTTACAAATTATGAGCTGAGTTAGATGTTACTGTATGTTAGACGCTCAAGTAGCTGTGGAAAATCTTTTAAAAAAACCTAATATAACCTGGAATAATCTAAATGCTTTGTTCAATCTTATGTTTTAATAATGTGTGCAAGCTTATAAAATGTACCGTTTATTTTCACTCTCAGTTTTTGTGCACTTTTAATATAACAAATTTTCAAACCACTTCATTAATAACATGTCGCCACATCAGAAAATATCTGAAAAATAAGTTCCATCTTAGAAGAAAAATGTCCATCCAAGTCGCATATGAAAACATTGAGCTATAGTATTCAAACCTTCAAAGAGCTTCTGTGGATATTGATGACAATGATGTATAAAACATTATTGGAACATAAAAAATATATATAGTATATTCAAAACACAATTTCTAATTGCAGTTAGATTGACTACTAGGTTGACATTTGACATTACATTGCACAAATTTTACGATCGCACATATACAAGAACACAGGAACACATTCACCCGCTAGTTACAAGGACTTCAGTGACAATAGGATAGAATTATTTGTCATTTAAACCAGTAATAGTTGCTATGAGTACACCATTAGATTCAAAGATGGATTTGTTTCTGTAATACTTAGGAGAAATAATGGCACCAAATTGTACATATACGCATCTTAGAAGTTCAACTGGTAGGTATTATTTGCTACAGTAAGTGGAAGGGTAACAATTTTGCCACATGGTTTGTTCTTTAACTGAAGGTCAATGGAAAGCCCGCTTGGCACAAACACAAGTTAATCCACAAAAGGGTTCCCGCCACTCTCGAAATAATCTCTTCTTCTGGCCTTTTCCCCAAATCGCCAATAAGTGAATATGGAACATGAGAAGCTGATCATGTGTTGTTGTTTTTTTTCCCAAAGTCCCATGCTGATGGATTGTCCTATTTCTAGCTCCTTCCTCCTGTAGCACGCCTGATGAAGCACTTTTTGGTGATAATTTTGCTCTTATTCCTGTTTTCCTAAATAAAGGACGTCCGCAGAGCAGCAGGGGGTTCATGCACCTTTCTTCAAGTGCAGTCTCAAAGCTGGCACTGGATGGGTTGCGGTGGATGAAGAGAGACCCCTGTGCGGCTCCGTTCCTGAGTCTCCTGAAGATGAGGAGTCTAGTCAGCCCAGCGGAGAGAAGGGTTTCTGAGCAAGGAGCTGCTGTCCCATCATCCCATCATCCGTTTGGGATGGGTCTGGCCTGGCCCTTCCCCTCCGCGCACCTGCTCTGTCCGGCTCCACCAACTCACTCCGAATGCCATCAGGTGAACTCATGATCCGACTGGCATGTCCACGTAGGCTGTTCCTTAGCAAGCATGGCCCAGTGTGTGTGGGCATATATATATCTATGCACAATTGTGCAAAAGAGGAGATTATGTTTGTGATGTCATTATTTATTGATTTGTGATAAAAGTTATATACCATACGGAATTGTGCTTTGTCAGAATTCCCTTTCTTCCCAGAGAAGGCTTTGAGTAATTCAAGAATCCGAATCCTGACCTGGAGCATTTTTTGCTTGGTGTCCTTCCCTCTCTTCCTACTTAAGGCGGCAGCAGCAGCAGCGGTCTCCTCCTCTCCTCCCGGCGAGGTCCCCCACTCCCAGGTTTCTCCCCGCAGCTGTTCGCACATCTCTGGAGGTGTAGGAGCTCTCTGGCTTGTCTTGCTTTTCTACGTGGACCCTTCCCCCCTACAGGGTGGAAGAGCTTTGCTTGTAGTCCCGCAGAATGACGGAGGCGTAGGACACGTTGGGAGGGGTGCAGAGCACCGACTCGGACACGGGGGAGCTGGGCACCGAGCTGCCCGAGGCCACCGAGTCGCGAAAAGGCGACGGAGGCGTCAGCGCAGGCGAATCCTCCGGGGTCAGTTTGCTGGCCGCCTGCAGGTCCTCCTCCTCCTCTTCCAGTTCGTCTTCTTCCGTGTTCCCTTCCCGCTCGTGCTCATACACGTACTCCTGAAGGAGCTTAAACCTCTCGCTGTCGTCGTCGTCGTCCGCGGGCGGGGAGACCAGCTCCTCCTCGAAGGTGCTCAGCTGCAGTGGCAGCATCTGCAGGTGCTGCGGGGGTGGCGGGGGCTGGTACAGGGACCGCAGCCCGTTCCCGGGACCCCCGGGGCCTGCCAGCACCGCGTGAAAATCCGGGATCGCAGTGCTGAAGTTGCTGACCACTCCCTGGAGCTGGTCCATCAGCGATTTCTGCTGTGGAGGGGGCTGCTGCTGCTGCTGCTGGAGAAGAGGGGGCAAGCCCTTGGAGGGGGCTGGGTCAGCCAGGAAGAGGGGAGTCTCCTCTGAGGTCAGGTGGGGCGGCAGAGGCGGAGTGGTCGCCGTGCTTGGCACGCGCCTGTGCACCACCATGGAAGGGCTGCCAGGAGGGCTAAAGCGAACCGGCTGGGCATCCTCCTCCTCCTCTACGTTGTAAAGGGTCTTGGTGCTGGTATCTGAAAAGGTAAGGCTCTTGCCAGAGCCTTGGTAACTTTTAGTGAGGGGCTTGATGACGGCTGTTTGGTTGCAGGCCGTCTCATTAGTCTTCACGTGCACAGAGAGGCGCTGCCACATGTGCTGTCCCTTGGACACCTGTCCTCCACCTGGTTCAGACCATGACACAGACTTGCCATTAGAACTATGAATAAAATAGAGATGGATTTATTTGCAGATAGATCATGCACACAGGATAAAATACATATAAAACATATGCAAACCTAGCTCAATGTAATTTAACTGCTGTCTCTGCTGTAGGCCTTTGCTCCAGCACCCCATACCGCCTCTTACAAAAGGAACACCAAGAGCTGTAGTTACCACGGGATGCCACTGGAGCTGCAGCCAGTGATTCCATCCCGAGCCAAGGAAGGAAATATTGACCCTGAGAAAAGTTGTTGAGGAGAAAAGCCAGTTTGTTGTAGAAATAGCTGTTTTCATTTAGGTCTAAGATTTCACAAAGCTCTTTTTCTCCCTTGCGCTCTCTCCCTCTCCCTCTCTGTCTCTCTCTGACACACACACACACACACACACACACACACACACACTTTTGAAAAACTCCCAACTGATGTAGGAAAACTTTTTTAAAAAAAATTTTAGTTACATATGAACAACCAAAATAATGGCTATTGTCCTTGGGACAAATTAAGAACCACATACAAAGCTACTCTCGTTGTGTTGTGGGATTATAAAATAGATCCTCTCAGTTGCCCATTCTCATATGCAAGTATTTCCCATGACCAGGGTGGCGTGATCACACAGGGTACCTATAAGGAACATAAAAAAGCAGATGACAGAAAAACTCGGACTCATGGTCAATTTATGAGCTTCGTAGCTTTTGATTTTTTTAAAAACATTTCAATGAATAATTTCTCACACATACAGTGGATCACAATTCACATAAAGGCCCTGATTCACAGCAACTAGTTTGGGATTTTCACACTAGGAACATTAGGAACAAGATTATGATTGAGACAAAGCAGCAGTTACTGAGACAAAGACCTCTACTCATTGAGCCTTGGTGAAGAAAAGTCTTAGGGTGCCAGCAGTCTCCCAGCCGTATCAACTCTCATCTTCATGGCACCCACAGAAAACCAGACATATGGAGTTTCTCCCTGAATAAGAAAATAATGAGATGTACTGTGGCATACACCCCAAATTCTGTCCTATTGTAATAACTCTGATCTTACTTCTGGACTTAGCTTCTTTTCTGTATAACTTTTAGCATATGGTGGTACCTTACCATAGCCTTCTATTAATAACAACGGTGGTAATCCTTAAATCAGGAAATAATTGTTTCTTTTTTTTTTTTTTTAAGAAGTCTGCTTTTTCTCTGTACTCAGTAAAATGACAGAGAAAGTAGCATAATAATAACACATGTGTGACATTAAAAGGAATATTTTTTTTCTTGAAGTGGAGGTGTGAAATAGACTATATTCTAGTTTTTGTTTGGAAAAAATGTAGGAAATGATTAGTAGTTTAAATAATGGTTTATTTAATCATCTTGAGAATATAAGAACGAATACTTCAAAAATTATATGTGAGCACCATTTATGATGAAGGCAATGTTTTGACATTTCATATTTTATAATCTTGAAATGTAAAGTGAGACAGATAAGTACACATGAGTGTAAAAGTCTGATATTGATTATAGAAAATTTTGGATATAAAGGCTCTAAAATAGATAAAACAGTTAAAAGTGTTGACCTCATTATTTGGGAAATAGGTGGTTCCTCCATATATCTGATAACCTACACTGCATTTTTAATTTTCTAGGGAAAAAAGTCATCTCTATTATATCAAAGTTAATATTTCTTTCAAATATATGCTTTACACTTTATCTGAGACTGTATAAGTACTTGTAAAGTTTTAAAAAATTGTCTCATTGACTTCCACACTATGTTGTTGGAATAGCTGACTCTTTTCTGAAGTGAACAAACTAAAGAACAGACCAGTGGCGTTCCTGGCGAGAACAAGTAGTCAACCAGCCAGCCAGAATCACTGCCAGAATCCGCAGTTGTTCTGAGCTTAAAACTCTAGGTAAGCTCATCCCTCACTTAATATTTCTCAACAGCCCCCTCATCTACCACTATACACACTTTGTTTCTCTTTATGCATTCAATATGCCTCTTCTAGAAAGGCAAATATAAAACTTATTTGCCCTCCTTAAGAATGTCTTACTACATACAACATCCAACTCAGTGATTTGCATCATTTTAAATTGCAATGAAAAAAATGAAACCATCATTCTCAGCAAACTATCGCAAGAACAGAAAACCAAACACCGCATGTTCTCACTCATAGGTGGGAACTGACAAGGAGATCACCTGGACTCGGGAAGGGGAACATCACACACGGGGGCCAATTACGGGGAGGGGGGAGGGGGGAGGGATTGCATTGGGAGTTATACCTGATGTAAATGACGAGTTGATGGGTGCTGAAGAGCTGATGGGTGCGGCACATCAACATGGCACAGGTATACATATGTAACAAACCTGCGCGTTGTGCACATGTACCCTAGAATTTAAAGTATAATAATAAAAAAAATAAAAAATTTAAAAAAAAAGAAAAAAGAAAAAAATGTTTCCTTCCCCACCTTCCCACTTCTTAATAGGCGTTAGGAAATGTCTTCTTAATGTTTACCAGAAAAATGCTTAAACAAAATGTTATCCTGTATCTATTTGGTTGTGTGTATGTGTGTTAAAAAAATAAAATAAAATAATAAAAATAAAAACAACAACAAAAAAAAAACAGGTCCCTTGAGAACTAGTCTGCCTCTAATTCAATCAGCAGGCTTAGCTGTCCCTTAGTTTCCACACATAATAGCAAAAAGGTAGCTTGTTTCCTGGAAAGCCCTAAGGTGATCCCACTCATTCACATGGGCTGTTTTCCTCATTGTCCACAGGTTCTATGCGGGCCTCTTTTTAAATCAAAAGCACCCATAAGTTAACGGTATTATTAATCATGTTGCAGACAGATATAATCATAATTTAGTTCTATTTTAATTAAATCCAATTTTTATTGTTGAGATGGGACATTTTCACTATGGCCTTCAGAACTGGTAACTGTCGTTCCCCTCAGTCTTGCTCTAGATTTGCTGTAAAGTACTATTTAATTAGGAAACAGATCTCACGCCTCAGGGCATTTATCAGATTAACAAAATTAGCATAATCTTTTTTTCAAGGACAAAACAAATTGCTTTTTAAAAACCAAAGATAGCAGAAGGAATGTATCATCTCACAGACGTTGCAGCACTGAGTATAAACTTTGGTCCTTCCGGATGAGTCATCTCTTACCTGTGGTCCATAGATAATCTGAAAGGTCCATGTATCTATACCTGCATTGAGCATTGTTTTTAGACTGAATAAATATTATGTATTTGTAGACAATGCACTGCTGTTTTTAAATGTATGTGGATGCTGTTATAATAAAGTGTGCTATTTAATACATGTGTAACTAAATTCTGGGAAGCTTTTATTTTGTTCTATATTCAAATGACCATGATAGAGGTACATTTAGTAATAATAGATTCAGGTGAAGGCTTAAGAACTGTTTTGTTGAGAAACGAGAGTATCTTATTTGAGAAGGCTGGGAACCAACTACTGTGATATTAAGAACAGAAAAATATATAAAATCAAATCCCTTTATATCAAAAAAGAGTAAACACATTATAAAAATACAGTATTACCCTGCAAAATGATATTTATTTAATCCCAGATAACTTTAATTGTTTCTGCTTATGCCACCAGCTTCCTCCTTCTATTGTTTAATTTTATTTGGCCTCCTAATCTTAGGAAAAGCAATCTGGTTTAGAAAACACCACATACTTGTTACAAAGCACCCGAACCTTTTGCTCAAACTTCAAAAGACAGACCTGAGACCTAAAACAATCTCATATTTGAAGATCAAATGCAGCAGCATTTAGAGTAAATATCTCAGGTGGCTCAATTGGAGGAAAACACTGTTAGGCCTACAGAATGTATAGAATAATGTATAGTTACTGTGTGGACATCTGGGCAGGCCTGAGGCTGCAGTTCCAGCAACAACAGGTTCAGGATCTTGCTTTGATTTTTCTTTCATTAGATAACTATCTCAATCCCCCAAACAGAAAACCCAATATTTACAGCACTCTTGAGAGTTGAGAGTGGGTGGTGTAAACAGATTAGTGTATCTTTGGCATTCAGTGATCCTGTCTGTTTTATTTGTTTCAGTAAGTACTAGTTACATCAGCAGAGTACACTGTTCTCTGATCCAGAGAGGTTTAAAATGGGAATAACAGTGGGTGGGTGTTTGAGATCATCAGGAGGGAAGCCTCCTGCACAAGCTGCCTGAAGGGGAAGCTTACACAACACCTGTCTTTCTTATGTCCAAATCAAGTCTTTGCCTCTAGGCTTAATAGCTTCACAACAGATATAAGGACAGTATCCAGAAAGCCCACAGATAATGCAAGACCTTCGCATAAGAAAGAGAGGCTAACTCTTTGGAACCTGAGGAGGGTAGTCTTTGTTTTCTCTGAAAGTGAAAATGGAAACAGAAAACACCATCGAGTCCCAGGAAGGAGAGAATTGGTTCATCAAGAAAAAATATCAAAAGGCACAGGCTTCGGGGCAGTTCTGCTCTGGCTCCTGCAGCTACAGCTAGAATATGAGGCCTGTCAAGGAAGGGGAGGTTCTGACCCCACCAAAACTTTCCCAAAGGAATGCTGGAAATAAAACTGTCCAAATAGTTCAACTTCACATTCATCAGCCCTCTGGTACCCCAGTGCAGCTTCAGAAGTAGGTCTTGTAGAATCTCAGGCCTAAGAACTATTTGACACCAGTTGAATCAGACTTCTGTTTTCCCAGGCAACCCCAAGTTTGTCATCAATACAAAGGACTCCCACTGACTCCAGCTCCACTTCTTGAAAGCCTTCCAGAAAAATCTGCCTATTTAGAATGTATTCTCAAACTTGGGGGCCTATCTGAACATAATTACAATTTCTCATCTTTTTGACTCATCACTGGCTGTAAGGTAGAGAATCTCTGAATGTGCTTTCTAATTATATGAGAACGTGGTAGTTTCTGTTGATATTACATCTTAAATAGTATTGTGAAGCTTAGCCTTTTCCCCTTTAATTCTACCTTCATCTTAAGCTAGTCAGAAAGC